TACTTAATAATAATTCCAAATTCTTTTGCAGATACATTAGGTAATTTAATCTCAAGTACATCGTTATTCTTTATCGCATTTTTTAGTTTTTGTTGAAAGTATAACGAGCGTTGGTACAATATTGCTGAATGTGCTTTGAAAAGTCGAACATTCGGGTTTTCATCAACTTTGATCATTACATCATAATTATATTCACTTTCAAGAAGCTGAGTGAGATCCTGAGAAAGAGTTTCATAACATGTTAAGGTCATTTTATTATTGTTATAATAATTCCTAAAAATGTGTACATACGCACTATACGTATGTATTCCTATTTATAAATTAGAAAATCAAACGAAGCGAAGCTTCAGCTACCAAAGTGTTATAGGATAATCATTACGTACGTTGCCAGAAAATTAGTTTATTAAATTTACTTTAGCATGATTAACTAACAACATATATTATGACATACTTTGCAGTTTGGTTAGGAATGTTGTTATTGTTTATTATATTAAAAAATTTAAGTATTATATTTTGTACAGTTTACTATTTTTATCTACAGTTTAATATTTTTATTTATTTTTTTTTACAATAAACACATACAGCGGCTATATTTTTAGAAAATGTAGAAAAGTTAGCACGTCTGAAATCTGGACCAGGTTATATCGATTCACTAAATCAAACACTTTTACTAAAACGCACCTATAGTGTTTTACCACCTATCAGCTATGTTGCATTATCTTAGAAACTATCTAATTAATTAACTGTTAATATACGATACTCTAAGTAAAAACGCTCTACGTCCCCCAAAACCCCACCTAAACCTTAATTCTAGCACTAAATACTAACCATAACATGAATTTGGAATTTGTGTTAAAAATTTTATATAAAAAAAACATAAAAACTTATAAAAAAATATAAAAACATACAAGAGATGCAAAACCACCATAGGTGCGATTATAATAAATGTTCTAAAATCAAGTTGTTTTTATGTAGAGTTATGTAAATATTTTATGTATATTTTATTTAAAAATTATACATAGGTCTATAAACCCAATGTAGACTTACATAGTTATAATTTATACATAGATATAATTATAAATAGATATTTATTTAATAGTTATCTAAAATTTAGCAAATATAATGATATGTTTAGTAGTCAAATAAAAAAATTGGTAGATAAAATAAAAGTTATAATTAGAGTTATAGTTAGAATTAGCCTACTGTACATTTTTGACGTCCAAAGCTATGAGGAACATAAAAAAATTTCGATTCAAGTTTGCCTAAATACGAAAATTATAAGTTAAAATTGTGTTACGAAAGTTACAATCTCTTACGCAAGTTTCAATAAATCGATTTCATGTAATTTTGATTTTAAATGTATGATATAATATGATGCAACTTCTCAATTGCCGGAACTTTTGTTCTCAGAAACTACATATCACGTGTCCAAATTATAAATAAAAATTACAAAATTACGCGACAACTTACAGTTCACGTATTTGACTATATTTGACAGGTTCGAATCTTACCGTATTTCTCCGACATGTGTATCCTGTTAGAGTTGGCAAGACAAATTTAATTTAAGTATCTGGAATATACATGTAGGGGATGTATGGTACATATGTCGGAGAAATACGGCAAATTGTTGTTCATGTGAGATGACCAAATTACAATTTAATTTCTTAATATTGGTTAAACCAGAGTACGTAAGTACGTACTTTTCGCAATTTTTTTTGTGTCACTGCATCGTAAAGTTTTACATATGACAAATTGTGTAACTTTTAATACGTATTATTTTGAAAACTAATGTGAGGAAATTTATAAATGGGAAGACAAAAATTAACGAAATGATAATATATAATTTATGTTCGGTTTAATTAATTTTTTTTACATAACTTATGTTTCATGTTAAATATATATTGGATTTGAATATAATTTAGATATATATTAGAATTCATGACTTTACAATAAATTTTAATTGGCAAATATATTTAAGATTATTTTTAATGGCAGCATAATTACTATTATAATAAACTAAAATTTTTTTTTTGCTTAAAAACTTAGGTCAGTAAATAAACAATCCTAGAAAATAATGATAAAGAAGGACCTAAGATAAGGATTGTTTAAAAAAATTTTTGAGATCTATCGACCGGCATCTGGAGCATTTCAAACGAAACTTAACGTGAGTGGGAGTGTACTTCGCCGAACATATGCATTATCTAATCTAATATTAGGAAAATGCGTAGCATTATGTGTCCGGAGTATCATCTGATGATCATCTCATTGCTAAAACGCGTGAATGTGCATATTTTTGTTACACTAAATTACAGGAACACGCGTGCGGACGGACAAAAATTACGTTTTTGATATGATCTTCATAATGTTTATGCAGACCAGAGTTTGGAACCGGTTTTATTTTTTATATATTAAAACCGGTTTTAATCGGTTTTAACATATGAAAAATAAACTCTAATGCAGACTTAGTCAATTCTTTGTTATGTATATGAAATTTCGGGAAATTTAGGAAGAGATGCATCAAAAAAGTCACTATTTTTGGTCGAAACGTAATTTTTGTATCACTTTACGTACATTAACGGTCCCCTCTACGCTCCGGACAATAATAAATTTTGGATTAACCAGCTTATAAAATTCTAAATTACAAAAAAGATATGTGTTATATCTCAGACTAACGCTTTCGTGAGATTGCAGCTGGCCAAATTAGGGTTAGGATGAGAATTAAGGTCAATTATTGTTGTGTCAAATGCTGGTCGTCTCTAGAGCTGCAGACATTAGAATATCAATGAACATATACTATGACGTTGGACGTGACGTATGTGACGTAACGTTTAATATGATTATTTATATGACGTAAAGAGTGACGTACTACCTTGGACCTTCTAAATGTTTGCAGCTCTAGTCAGTACAATCTCATGCAAGCATTAGTCAGATACGACATATACGTATACATACTGTATTTATTTTTTATATAAAACTTGTTATAAATTGTGTAATAATCAAGAAAAAAAAAAAAAAACAAAAAAAAAACAAAAGACATTAATAAAATTTACACCAATACTAATCACCTATAACATAAAATTTGTTTTTTTTTCATAGACTTCATGTGATCAAATGCAATTAGGCGGTAGCGGTAGTTACTTTTTAATACTTAAGAGATATTTTCAAGGTGCTACCTGTACCATACAAGGAACTTTTAATAGTAACTCTCTAACTATAATTGGATGTGCATTTAGCATTCAATCTTCTAAAGCCGGTAACACAAAAGTTAATACTCGTCATCAATTGTCTTATGACTTAAGCGGAACCCTTTATAGTAAACATTGAAAAAAGAAATTACTCCGGTACTCCGATATAAAAAAAACCATTCAACCTCGATGTCAGTGAACTTTTTTTCAATAAATCTGTTATCATGTCTAAAGGTCCATGGAGTTGCAATGTATGAATAAATACGATCATCAGATTATTTTTTAATTTCAATAATGATTTTCCTATCGTTACTTGAAATTTTATAGGAAGATGTATTATTAAAGAAACTTGTTAATGAAACGCCTAAAAAACAAGACCAAATACATTGGGTTGAAATTGGAAGAAGGATGAACTCTCGAACATCAAAGCAATGTCGAGAAAGGTATGCTTATTAATTTTTTTTAAAATGCTGAGAAATTGGCAATTCAAATTTATGCTTAATTTTATTTAAAAAACTAATTGATAATATATGCACTTTTATTTTTAAAAATCATGAAATTTATAGATATAGACATCATCTTGATCCTAAAAGTAATTATTACTCCAATATGTTTATTCAGCTTGTAATTTTCATGATATACCTCACACTAAATTTATTGAATATAAACAAAAATATAGTCAACCGGAGTGCTCTCAGTGAAGAAGAAAAAGATTTAATCTGGGATTGCTTAACTAAAGGTATAACCTCGCACGCATCGATTGCAAAATTGATTCCTGGGAGAACGCCTCTGCAAATAAAAAATTATATTTACCGAGAAAGAGCTAAAGAAAGAGTAAGGATTAAAGCGAAAATGTCGTTACCAAATATCTGTAATGTTTCAGCAACTAGAAAATTAGGAACTTAAGGGGAGTTTGAATATTTGAACATTTAAACATTTTGATAGAAAGTTATATACTGTATAAATATTATAATTTAATTTTGATATCTAAAGAGATTTTCTTCTCTTAAATGATATTTTTTTTTCGTATTCAAGCAGGGCTTGTCACGAATGATATTCATAGTCTATGCATACTTTATTTCTAAACTTAATGTAGCGAGTTGTTATATACTGTATATTTAATTTATACTCACTACATGCCTTTTGTGTTTATATATTTAAACAATAACAATTAAAATTAATAAAATATCTATATATCATATATATATATCTATTTATAGCATTCAAGTATATATTTGATTATCATAAACCGCGCATGTATGCATGTTATTCTCCTGCAATGATCTTAAACGATTAATTTATACAGTATATAGTGATAGCAGTTATTATTAACGTTAACATTAACGTTAACGTTAACATTAACGTTAACATTAACGTTAACATTAACGCTAACATTAACGTTAAACGTTAAATATATATTATATAACGTTTAATGAATCTTAAGATAAATAGGAGTTATAAACTTTTTAAACTAAAACAGAATTCGTTGGGTTTCGGAACGCCGCTTCGCATTTTATTTCTATATTAAAAACAATTTGAACACTGGTTTTAGGTTTGCTTAAATGTCACATAGATTGAATAAATAAAGAATATATATATATATATATATATACATATGAAAATTTGCTTAACTAAAAACTAAACCTAAACTTAGTGTTCAAAAATTAGTGCATTAAATGTCACGAGAATACTCTATTTAATCAGATCGACGGTATGACACTGGTACAACCTAGAACCGTTATTAGCGTTAGGCGTTTTAAAATCCCGGCAACAATTCCTGAATTATCATATATTCTCGTGACTCATCTAGAATCTGGTTATTTATTGTGTCTCGAGTTCCTCTTTATATATTATCATTATATATTTATGGACTGAAAATTTTCATTCTTTAATTTTTTTTCTTTTTTGATTATGTAATTTCCTCAAGATGGCGCCTCAAATTATAAAGTTTTTATGATCGACCATCGTATTTCCTATATTACTGTAGATTACTGTATTATCATTATATAACAAGGTAGTAAACATGCAAATGGATTATCAAATTTAAATGTTGTCAATGAACACGTTTGGGACACGGTTCGAAAAGTGTAACACGAAAAGAAATGCCAATAACACAAAAATTATATATATTTAATTTAAGTTTATCTCCTAATTTTTTATTATAATTCAAATATCCTAAAAAATATAATTTTTTAAATTATAAACGTACTTGTACGCTCTTGAATAAGTCAAAGAAATCTTCGTAATAACTTTGATTTTACCCATTTTTGAAAAATGATTAGAAAAATATTTATTGAGTAATACGTAAGTACAATAGTGATTAGA